CTATTGTTAAATACTTGTACCTTCTTGATGGTGGTTGTTGTATTTCTCCAAGTTTCAGCTCCGTATAGTAGAACTGCCTTGACGTTCGTATTGAATATCCTGACTTTGATGTTGGTTGAAAGTTGTTTTGAGTTCCACATGTTCTTTAATTGAAAGAATGCTGTCCTTGCTTTGCCAATCCTCGCCTTTACGTCTGCATCTGAACCTCCTTGTTTATCGACGATGCTTCCCAGGTATGTGAAGGATTCTACATCTTCCAGAGTTTCGCCATCAACAGTGATTGAATTGCTGTTCTCCGTGTTGTGTTTGAGGACCTTGGTTTTCCCTTTGTGTATTTTGAGGCTTACTGATGCAGAGACTGCTACCATGCTGGCTGTCTTTATCTGCATTTGTTCGCGTGTGTTAGATAGGAGAGCTAGGTCATCTGCGAAGTCCAAATCGTCTAATCGGTTATGAGTTGTCCATCGTATGCCGTGTTTTCTCTCAGATATCGAGGTCTTCATAATCCAGTCGACCGCCAGAAGAAAGAGGAAGAAGAGAGTAGACAGCCTTGTCTTACTCCGGTCCTTACATTGAATGCATCTGTCAGCTGTCCTCCATGCACTACTTTGCACTGTAGTCTGTCGTATGAGTTCCGGATAATGTTGACAATCTTCTCAGGAACTCCGTAGTGTCGAAGAATTTTCCATAACGTTCTCCTATCTACACTGTCAAATCGCCTTTTCATAATCAATGAAGTTGATGTAGAGTGACGAGTTCCACTCAATTGATTGTTCGACGATGATCCGTAGTGTCGCAATTTGGTCTGTGCACGACCGATCCTTATGGAATCCAGCTTGTTGATCTCGAAGTTGAGCGTCTACTGTGTCTTTCATCCGGTTCAGCAGCACGCTGTTAAAGACTTTTCCTGATACTGACAGTAGTGTAATGCCTCTGTAGTTTTCACACTTGCTCAGATCCCCTTTCTTTGGAATCTTGATGAGATGTCCTTCTTTCCAGTCCATCGGCACTTGTTCCTCCTCCCAAATCTTCTTGAATAGAAGATGAAGCATGTTCGTAGTCACTTCGATATCTGACTCCAGTGCTTCAGCTGGTATATTGTCGGGTCCTGCTGCTTTCCCGCTCTTGATTTGTCTGATGGCCATTCTGATTTCTTCGGTCGTTGGTGGATTGTTATCTTTAGGAAGATCTGTGAGCTGCTTCGATGTCCGGTGGATTCATTGGAGTTGGCCTATTCAGTAGTTCCTCGTAGTACTTTGCCCATCTGTTCCGCTGTCGTTGAATTTCAGTGATTGGCCTGCCTTCTTTGTCTTTGACCGGTCTCTCTGGCTTACTATATTTCCTTGCTAGTTTCTTCGCTGTATCGTGAAGCTGTTTCATATTTCCTTCTCTTGCAGCTTTCTCCACCGTCGTTGCTAGTTCTTCCACGTATTTTTGCTTGTCGGCTCTAATGCTCTTCTTCACTTGCCTGCTTGCTTCTATGTACTCAGCTTGTGCTTGGACTTCCTCTGCTCGTGTTAGCCTTTTGTTAATTGCTGTCTACTTGTTCTTTCTTCCTTTGATCCTGTCCAGTGTTTCTATAGAGATCCATTCCTTGTGATGATGCTTCTTGGGTCCCAGAACCTCTCGACACGTTGAAGTTAATGCTTCTTTGATACCTTTCCAGTCATACTCCATAGTAGTTTCTTTTTCCTTCAGTAGATCCTGTAGGGCTTGGAACCTGTTGTTGAGAGCTATCTTGAATTCATTGAATTTGTCAGTATCTCGGAGGAAGGCTGTATTGAACCTTTGCAGTGCTGTTTATCCAGTTGTCCAGTTCTTCTTTAGCTTCATTTTTAAATTGGCTACAACCAGGTGGTGATCTGTAGCTATGTCAGCTCCTTTGCTGGTTCTCACGTCTTCCATTGTCCTTCGGAACTTTTTATTAATGCAGATATGATCTATCTGGTTCTCTGTGGTGTGGTCCGGTCAGATCCATGTAGCTTTGTGTATACATTTGTGTAGAAATATTGTGCCGCCTATGACCAATTTGTTGAATGCACACAGATTTACAAATCTTTCTCTGTTTTCGTTTCTCTCTCCCAGTCCATGCAGTCCCATGATATTTTCATATCCGGTGTTGTCTATCCCGACTTTGGCGTTTAGATCTCCCATCAGAATGGTGAGGTCTTTTCTTGGGAACTTCTCTATGATTGATTGCAGCCTCTCCTAGAATTGATGTTTAATGTCGTCGTTGCTATCATTGGTGGGTGCATAACATTGGATAATGTTCATTGTGATCCCTCATTCTTTATTTTGAATGATGCTTTGATGATTCTGGATCCGTGAGATTTCCATCCTACAAGTGCATTTTGTGCTACTTTTGACAGCATTAGAACAACTCCCTGAGTGTGTGGAGCATTTTCCTCTTCGTGACCGGAGTATAGCAGCATCTCTCCCGTATTTAGCCTTTGTTGTCCAGCTTGGGTTCAATGGGTTTCTCTGATTCCGAGTACTGCCAAGTTGTATCTCCTCATTTCCGTTGCTATTTGACTGGTCTTTCCGGCCTCCCACATTGTCCGGACGTTCCATGTACCTATAAAAATTTTTGCTCTGGTTGTTAGAAGGGGCATCGGTCTCATGGCTTCCGAAGGAACTCGGCTTTCACCATGAGGCGTCATATTTCTTCTAAATGAAGACCTTCTAACTCCCAGGGCAGAGTTTGAATGGTTTGAGTTATTTTTTCTGGTTAGCGTTTTTTTAGCGAGTTAGTTTTCTACGGGATGGGGACGCTAACGCCATTCCCAACCCTCCTCCTTTATCCGGGCTTGGGACCGGAAGTAATTCTAGAAGAGCTACAGGAGCTCACAGGAAGAACAATAGCAAAACCTGTTCTACAGAAAAATGTGTTTTAAAACTTGATAGGTGATGGACAATGAATACACAAAATGCAGAGGTTTGTATACAACTGTATCTAACAACAATAAAAAATTGGACTTCAGTAGATACAAAAAACCTTAATACATTTACATACAAACAATAAACGTGCATCAACGTAAATCATCTTGAAAATGATACGAAAACGATCGAAAATGCAGACTCAGCAAATCATATTTATTACGGAAAATCGTATGTTTAATATCACCAATAATATTTCACTTGATGGAAAATTCGAATCAGACACGTGACGAGATTATAAGAACACTGAAATTAGTAACTCAGATGTTCGAGTAATTTTAATACTTTTATAACCATCAGTGCCTGAAGCCAATAATAAAGGTATACTTGTATTTATTAGAACCATAAAGATAGGTACGGACGTTTGGAGGTCTAAATCGGACTACTTATTATGGACGATGTTGATCATGCCATACTGAACTGTGACTCGTTGAGTATGTTTGCCGCGTGCTTTCTAACTGGTGAAAATAGTTAAAATCAGCATCTATGTCGATGAGACACAACACTATTTTACTTCCAGGATTTATTTTCTCACGTTCGAAATTTAGATCTATCCATAGCCTGTGTTCACCTACAGAGTTGACCTCTGGTTGCTTAAGTTTTGACCACGGAGTCCCCTGTTAAATGATAATAAACGAAATGAAATGTTATGACGTTAGTCACAAGGAGGAATTTACAGAATCCAGAATATACTAATTACCATGTATGTGTAAGCAAATCACAAACATATATAATCCTGTATCCTCGACATTGATGTCAACCTTTCTAGATTTACTGGGCACACCTAGTTTAAGTTTCTTGGTCAAGCATCACCAGTGGTTACGCTGTGCCACAATCCCCCGCAAATATTAGCCAGCTTGGACCAAACGTTTCTCGACATATTGATAGTTCCCGAAATGTTTCTTTGAATACCTTCATTTCTGATTTGACGTCGATTACGGTGTCACGTGTAAAGACATTATCAAACTCCAAATACCTGAGGCGTCCTTAGTCAAGTCTGTATTGTCTTACTTTATCCTTATTGTAACTGAAAGAAATCACTGGGGATCCCTTAAGTGTTTTGTTGCACGCTATTGTTATTTCCTTATTCTTTTCTTGGCCTAGTTTTTGACTTTTATTCAGGTCCCTTGTAACCATATTTTATTATACGTTGGTCCTTTTGTCAGAAACTTCATCATTTGACTTTGTCAACGATCCGCTTGTTTTACGTAATGTTACTTTCCAATACTACCAGACCATTGCAAATGGAGTCGTGTTTGACTAAAATCAAAGTCACGCTGTAGTTCACTTACTGTTGACTATCTGCTTGAGTTTACTTGAATCTGTGCAGATAGACATTTGAGCACATTTTATTAGACATAAACTTATTGGTCCTCCGGTCTCGAGCAATTACTAACTTTTACAGTTTGATAAGTTATTATGTATTGTAGCAAACTTTGTATAGCGCAGGCTTTATCGTTTGAAGTATCTAGTTCTTTCGTTCTTAAATTTCATCCATTCAGACTGGGCACATAGTTTGTGTGTTACATAAGGGAATCCGAGTCATAAACGATCTGTCCGTTGTTCAGAACAACTTATTTTGGCTTACTTGAATAAACTTGGTACTATAATAGTGTGGCAGTTGCAAACATAAGATGCATAGCTGGACTACCACATTGTCCTGGCTAACAAAACAACTTATTGTATTGATTACTATCGAACTAAAAATTTAAAATAAGGCAATCACCACGAGTAGGGCCACATGCACTATGCTATAATAATGAGGTCATGGCAGTGTCCTACTGACTCCACATAAGGCATGGTCATAACTGTTGGCAACGACAAGATTTGCACCCCTACGCCCCACGTTAACGGCCATAACATTCCTGTACCACCTCAATAAAATTACACATCAGGGAACACGCTTGCGTTTTCGACTGTCTGAATGTAAGACAGTTGTTTTTTACAACTGGAATGTACAACAATATCCTTATAAAACACCCTGATAAATTATTTATTAGATAACTACATAGCTTGAAGAACAAAAGCGAGAAGTTCGCAATCAAACTAAGATAAATACAAAGTCAAAATTTAATTGGCTCGGGTTTTCGTATTCCAGTGGTAGGGTCAGTAGTGTTAGTAAAATCTTCAAACGGTATTCTTAATTTCCCATTATGAGAAATATTGCCAGAGCGCTTTGTGGTTGAAAGAGCAGATAACCTGTTACCATACTATAAAAAGGAAATAGGTGAAATTAAAAAAAACAGAAGAGTTAAAAGCATGAAGACAAAGTAAATTGAAACATACTGATATATTTATGATAACCCAATAAGTAAAATCAGAACTTCTGACATTTCATGATAAGGAGTCTGCCATTTCTTTATGAAACATCAGAACTTCTAATTTTTACGCATTGGGATAACACAAAATTCTCATTATTCTGTAACTTAAATTCTATCCAATGCTCAATTTGTCTAAAATACTAAGCCTAAAGTTGGTAATGATGCTTCGAAAGTGGGAAGATTGGGAACATGTTTAGATGACATTAAATGGTTTGCGAACTCTTACCACTTTACTTGTTCAATTATTTACTAGTATTTTGAATGAAGCAAAAGTAAATTTCAAGTTTTTGCATATCTTGACAAGTGATATCGTGATAAAAATTGAAAGATAGATTATTGTTAGACAGTAAGTAATAATGAAGACTACTGATCCATTTAAAAATTAAATTCTGTCCAACTCAAAGTATGTGGTCTAAGGCCAATTTTTCAATACTCATGAACATGCGCTGTTTGAATTTAATTAGGTTATGTCTAACAAACCTTAACTTAAATTAACTTTCAAAGTAGGTGTCAGAAAAATGAGGTAAGTGCAATATTGTAGTGTCAGGAGTTTACGTTTGTGAAAATGAATGAAAGATCAAGATTTCCTAGTCAATATTTACTTACTACATGCTGAGAAATATGCTTCTTTTGAACACTACCAGACTTCCACTTTCTAGATGTTTTCTGAGATGAAAGTGACAAATGGATGAAAGTAGGAATTTTTGTAGAATGTAGATTAGAGTAGTTTCGTTTATTTGCATCGACCATCTGTGGATTATTACTGAAATAGAGAGTGTAACCATAAACAAGTCTAACAACACAAATATAACTATCACGTGTGTAGTATATTTCTCTAGTTTGAAAATATGAAAAATAAATAAGCATCAAGCATTTAGTGATTAGAAGATTCGACATCCAACTACTGGTTTTTAGGTTCAATCGTTATGACATGTTATCTCGGTTTAGAAAGATGAGCGGTTATATCATATTAAATGTGGCTGGAAACCAAATACATGAACCCGTGATCGATAAAGATGCATGGAATGAAGGCCATCATTACTGAAAGCAACAAATATATTGTTGAGGTATTCATAAAATACCCCAGAAATTATCTAATGCTATTCCTGAATGAGAAATGGTGTCATTTCCCCATTGGTCAATATTTATTTGTCATTTCCTGGAGGTCAAATCTTGTACAAATGTTACTTTCTATTTTATGGTACGATGTAGTCTGTTTGTTTGGTGTATAAACAGAGTATGTTTGAAATATAATGATTCATATCACAGAGGCTGAAACTTGCGTTCTGGACTAAACTGGCTGGGCTAGACAGGGAAGCAGGGCCAATCAGAACTCTGGATTGTTCTTACGTGTTTTACGCGTCTTTGGTTCGATCAATAATTCGCTAGCCCTCTCCTCACTACCCTCTAATCGCGCGTGAGTCACAACGTACAACAATTGGCGGGTCACACAAGTTATAACATATATAATGCTTCACGCATAGAAGTAATCACAGTTATAGACGCATCGAGTTACTTTGGATACTTTAGTCTGATTGACAGTTTATCATAATCGTGTGGCGCATATATATTTGGTGCCCCTTTGTACCAATATTAATGTCTTCAAATAAATAAATAAATTATCATCATAATCACTTATACATCGAAAGGTTTATAACTAGGTACAGAAAGAGATAAAGCTTATATTTACGATACATGTACAAGCAAACACGAGCAGGTAACTCATTGAAATGAGTTATTAGTAAACGATTTAACTAAAGCTCAATTACATATTAGGAAATTTAACTTTCACAAAATGAGTTGATGCATTTTGTAAGTGACCAAAATTATATATATATATATATATATATATATATATATATATATATATATATATATATATATATATATATATATATATATATATATATATATATATATCTTCCAAATTAATTGAAATGGCCACAATATCTCTGAAAACTGAACAGAAAAAATATATAAAACCTTGGTGAGAATAGGTAATTATTGAGTCTTACGTAATTCAATCTGTGGATTTGATTGACAGTCAATAGTTGTTAAAATTTATGTTTTAAAAGCAACAACAAACTACTTCACAGTGGATCGAGTAAACAGATACTATTTACAAAGGTTCCACTTTTCCACAACAAGCTGTATTATTTTGTAACAAACATAAGAAATAACTAACCAATAAGAATCGGGAACATCATTATTCGATATATTCTTGGAATCCCCAGGAAAATCATCATTAATACTACACATCCCAATTACTGATTCGTTCTCACCAGGTGAAATGAATTTATTTTTATCTAAAGGAGAGCGTTCATCCATAAACAAATAAATGACACCAGTTAGTCAAAAGAACTGGGGGGCTTTAAAAAAAGAACTTTAAAAAACTGAATAGAAATATTTTTCATTGATTGGTAGTATTCGAATATCAAAAATTCACACAAAAAACCGAAGATTATGACTCGACAACCAGTTAAGAATTGCCTACTTATATGTGATAAATCAATGTATTATTTCGTTGCTTCAGGAAATGGCTATCTCTCCCGATCAATTACAATTGCTATTTGAGCGACAAACGCAGCGGTTCAAAAATAGCCAGCTGAATGTTTTAGACAATTTACGTACACGGCTGCTAAATCATCCATGTTTTGGAGATGTTACAGAAGTTGATAAATTAATTTCTAATTTGCATACCGAGCTGGAAATCGAATGCAGTACATATGAATGTGTTGATAAAAGCCTCTATGAATCCTTGATGAGCAGTAATGTAAGTGAAGCAGTCATTCATGATCCGCCCAGTGATCCAGAAATGTCCACTCCAAAAACATGCCCAGTAATGGATCCAAACTCCATTATCCTTGAAACAGCATGTACAGACAGTGATGTATCCAGCTCACAAAAGGTCGCCCTGCTAAATGTTCATGTAAGTGTCGCAGTAACCGCCCATGAAACAGAAAACAAATCGTGCAGTACACTGAATGCAGGTGCACCAAATGAAGCTCATCATTCCGCGATAGAAGTTCCTGACGAATCTAATCGCGATTCCCTTGATTTGCCAGAAAATATGTCATATGTGTCAAATAATGATCAAGAACCTGATTCAGTTTTGATGGACGCTGATTATCATAGCGATCCACTATCTACTAGTGATATTCTTGATAAATTTGATGATAATCTTTCCGAAGAATCAAAACTCGATGACCTCATGTCAAGCGTCGTTAACCCTCACCACTTAGTCATGCTCAGTCGATTTCTTGTGCGCTGCGACAAATATATTTTAATTAAAGTCAGATCAATTGTATTTTGGGTATATGAGGACCCAACATTGTTTCGTGGGGGAGGATGGACCCGAGAAACTTATATTCCGGATATCAGGTCCGGATCTTTCAAAGAAGGGGAGGTGTTGGGGTATTCAGAAAATACCCCAGAAATTATCTAATGCTATTCCTGAATGAGAAGTAGTGTCATTTCCCCATTGGTCAACATTCTTCCAACGTGTCATCTCCTTATTGGTCAATATTTATTTGTGTCATTTCCTGAAGGTTAAATCTTGTACAAATGTTACTTTCTATTTTGTGGTACGATGTAGTCTGTTTGTTTGGTATATAAACAGTGTATGTTTGAAATATAATGATTCATATCTCCGAGGCTGAGACTTGTGTTCTGGACTCAATTGGCTGGGCTAGACAGGGAAGCAGGACCAATCAGGACTCTAGGCTGCTCGCTCGTCTTTTATGCGTCACTGTTTCGATCGACAATAGGCTGCTCTCTAATAGGCGGATCACACGTTATAACACGTACTTTCTTCATTAGTTAGTAGAGGACTATCATCAATAAACCGAATAAGCACAGCTTAAATTTATCAGTATTTTCTAAGTGATGTATTATATTTGCAGAAACATGTTGTCTGGAAAAATATATACTGTCTATTTAATAATTTATGCGGGATGATTAGATTTTTAATTTAAAGTGCAACCTCTTTTCGATTAGGAGTTCTCTAACACCAAACCATGTATACAAACCAGCTAAAATTGCAAAATTACTAGAAAAAGAAAACCACAGAAAAGAAACACTAACAAAAATCGTACTGTAATTTTGTGTTTTGTTTCAAGCAGCTATTTTAGTTACTAGACAACTTCTGAAAACAACTACAATAGCATACAAGCTTTGGTAGATTTGTATAAGAAAGCATCAGGGAAACACTTCAAACAAGTATACGAATTTCCATATCTAGGTGCCATTGAGTAGAGAGAGAAACTTAATTAACTCTTTATCCTCAAGGATCAGGCGAATATGTTCAAATGACACAATAGATGATGAAATACATCAATTTCGAAAGATACTCATCAGAAATGGTTATCCATCATGATTCGTCAATAGGAACTTAACACCTAGACATTCTGAAAACCCACCGACTGATCAAAAGGAAACTTTTTATGAATATCGAATTGAAACAATCTACAGCTGCTGAAATCTAGAAAAAACGGATTTCGAAAACCTTAAATAAAACGTTTTATTCAGCTATGCTTCGTATTATTTTCTCAAGTTGACTTACCATTCACGGATGTATTAAGGATGACCTTCCACTTTGGGCAACGTCGAAATGCATTTATAAATTTATTTACTCCTGTGAGGCAGTTTATATTGGCCGTACAATGAGACCACTTCCTAAACGAATATCAGAACACTACCCGGTACGGCTTTTAGGAGGAAAATGCAAGTTACCAGATCAATACAGGAGCATCAAATCAACTCTAAACAAATCGGTCCGAATGAGTCTTCTTTTTAAAAAAATCTACATAGTCGAAGGACCTGAATCGAATGGAGGTCGAATCAAAAGTTTATCAACCCTACAAACAGCTAAACAGACAATATGACTAGCACCGTAACAAAAGCATCACTCTATGTCATAAACTAACTCGACCTATTCATTATTTAGGAAATGATTTATGGGTCGAGAACCAAGATTATGGAGCACACAATAGTCGATTTATATTGAGCATGTGCCACACATTATTAATGAACAAAATTATTAGTCAATCATGGAGAAAATTTATTAAATAAATAGCACAAGTCAGGAAAGTAATAAACATTCTAGCGCTTTGATTTCAACTAACCTTACTATTCAAATAAAAGGTACATTCCGACGATTAAACATGAAGTGTATGGAACAATAAGATACATTATAACAAATTGTTGGCTTTATTCTAACATAAAATCCAACATGGATAAAATTTTAATGAAAAGCTATAGAACGGAACAACACTATACTAAAATTTTCGGGTTTTTAAATACTTAACTACAATTTCTATCGATATAGCGTTGCGTAACCCATATTTACAAGAGCACCAAAACTGAGTAGCGAATTCATACTTAAGAAACCAGGAAAATCAGACGAGATATACGAAAGTTGGTTTATAAAACTCATATAAAAACGACTACTTACACTGAAACTGACTAACATAGTTATTATATGACGCAGAAAATGATATTGTAAACAGTTCTAAATTTTGTGTAGTAACACGATATTTTTTCGGAAAGAAAATTGGCTTACTTTCGAAAAATTCGGTAGAGAAACTAGCCAACTTTTCATGACTTTCATTTTTATTGTCACAAGTATCTTTAACAAATGACTGAACTTGTTCAGAATTTTCTGACTTCTTACATTCGAAGGTTGTTTTGAAAGAGGCAGAACTAGTTGAAATAAAATTTACATTATTAAACCCAGCAAAACCATTACATGAGTTATGTAAAGCCGCTAAAATACAACGCCATCGTCTGTTATGAGTTATTACTTCATGTTTTAGATCGGAAACCTTATTTCTAGAAAGAGAACGAGAATAAACATAATCAATCAGAAAGGTAGCTAAAGCATATGAAACTAGTATAGGTTACACAAAAAACCTAATGAAAATGAGAGAACAGAACGATGAGATTCTGTGTAAACTGAATCCATAAATAACATACCGTGGAATTCATAACCTAACAACCACATAACCGTCTAAGAAAAATAAGGCTTACAGAATATATCTATAAGAAATCGTACTGAGTACTATCTCTACTGATTCAGCACTGTAGTCCTGCGGAGTTGTAAATGTGATCATTAAAATAAGAAAGTAGTAGAAATAATAACTGAGCGGGTGTTATTAATAATTAATATATTTTTTTTATCGAATTGAGAACCCTACTTAGCGCAGTTACCAAGACGAAGGAGTTTAAGTCAAAGATTTCCATAAGTAAATAGTTTATCATGTTTTAGTGGGTCCGAGAGATGGTGTAACACAGTGGCTAGAGACGTTATCAGATATGGCTCAGAATAAAAGCCAGTGGCGATCCTGCTGTAACCTTCTTTTACTTTCTTCATAAAAAGTGGTTGCTCCTTCCTTAACTGAAAGAATTCTTCTGATTGTACCTTTCCGTTTCCCCCATTATTGTTCTCTCCCTCTCTTTTTTATAATTCCCCACGTTCATAACTTTTTTTTCTCCTTCTCTTCAAAATATCATTGTTTTGTGTGGTGCATATATACTTGGTGCCCCCTTGTACCAATATTTATGTGTTCAAATAAATAAATTAATTAATTAAGTCAAAGATTAAATTGACTGACAATTAAACACTTCACTCATTGTACAATAACAAAAGAATAACCTAAGTTGTACAATTCAGAATAGCAACTCAAGTAACATTCAGATGAATTTGTTAGAAACATGAGGGCGGTTATCACTTCCCTGTTGCCCACACCGTGAAAGGGTTATTCTGGGGGTACCTGAAACGGAAATTGGATTAGAGGTGGTCATAGTGACCTGAGAGCGTGACCGCAGTGCCCAAGGGACAGCTGCTTGAGGTCGGTCACACACGACCTTTTTATGAGTAATTTTTGTGTTAGCTCCGTACTTGTTGAGACCTTACCGCCGGAGACGGACATCCGTGGGATAAGGCGAGGTGTGCATTTTTAGGGTCGACCTTTTCTAACCCCACCCCTCCTTGTGGGAATGCAGCATCGCTGTTATGCTGGTTGTCTGAAGGAAACACCTCACTTCCGTCACACCTCTGTACAGTCAGCAGTACAACTTCGCCTTCGGACCATGGATTTGTTGCTTTTAGACTTACCGCTCTTCAACCGACCTGTCTGGCATGGTAGGACATTGAGGAAATGTTGTTCCAGCCAGTATAGCTCAGTTGCTTCATTACGATAGGCAAGCCCGACCACCACGTCAAGGTAGCAACAACGGTCGGGAGATCAGTCCCCTCTGACTGATCACAATCACTTATCGTCCAAATATATAAGAAAGGGTCAAAATCATCCTGTGACAACCACAGAGGGATTAGTTTGACTAATATAGCATCTAAAATACTAGCCTCGATAATTATCGGACGCCTAACTAAGACTCGTGAACTGCAAACACGTGAAAATCAGGCTGGCTTCAGACCTGGCCGTAGATGCATAGAATACATATTCACCATTCGTCAGGTTCTAGAACACAGGCATACTTATCGGCGTCCGACAATGGTGGTCTTCCTTGACTTAAAAGCAGCATTTGACTCTGTTGACCGAGAGGTTCTGTGGCAGTGTCTGTCATTGAAAGGCGTACCTCAGAAGTACATAAACATTGTGAAGGCTCTCTACTCGAACACTACTAGTCGAGTCAGAGCTTATGGCGAACTGTCATCTGCTTTTGCAATCTCAAGTGGTGTCCGTCAAGGCTGTCCACTTTCTCCATTGTTGTTCAACTTCATCATAGACCTACTACTGGAAATAACGCTCTCATCGACTGAATTTTCGGGGATTGGTCTCCTACCAGGAGGCACACTTATCGACTTAGAATACGCAGATGATATAGTCCTGCTTGGTGAAGACACTGATAAAATGCAGAGTCTTTCGGTAGCACTGAGTAACAATGCCAGAATATTTGAGATGCACTTCTCCCCTTCTAAATGCAAGTTATCGCTTCAGGACTGGTCTGCGTCAACACCTGAACTAAGGATAGGGAGTAAAGTAGTTGAACGCGTTGACAACTTCACTTATCTTGGAAGTCTGATCAGCCCTAATGGGTTGGTGTCTGACGAAATTTCAGCATGGATTCGAAAAGCTCGTCTGGCTTTCGCCAACTTACGTCACCCATGGCGAAGGCGAGATATCCGTCTATCAATTAAGGGACGAGTATACTGCGCGACAGTTCGTTTCGTTCTACTATACGGCTGAGAAACATGGCCTTTAAGAGTAGAAGATACTCGTAAGCTACTAATATTTGATCACAGATGTCTCAGAAATATTGTTCGCATCTTCTGGGATCATCGGGTAAGTAATAGTGAGGTTAGACGCAGGGTATTAGGGAATGATGGTAAATCAGTCGATGAGGTCATGAATCTTCATCGACTGAAATGGTTGGGTCACATGTTACGTATGCCTGAACACCGATTACCACGACGCGTAATACTGACTAGTGTTGGGGATGGTTGGAAGAAAGTTAGGGGCGGCCAAACCAAAACATGGCATCAGTCCACAAAGTCACTAACTTCTGGTCTGAGCCATGTTGGTATATGCAGACTACTTGGTTGGGGTCCGCGTGACTATCGTAGCCAATGGTTGGAGACTCTTGGTGACATGGCTCAGAATCGATCACAGTGGCGTAGGTGTATACACTGTTTGTCTTTCTTTAAACTAAGAGATTAAAATCGCTTCATACCTTTCTTTTTTTCTGTACTGTAATTATATGCAATCTTTCTTTTATATATCACCACCACTAAATTAACTACTTCTATGAATCGGGTGTTCATCTTGTTGTGCTAATGCGGTATGGCAACTTGGACCGATGCATATATGTGCCAGGTCCTACGTTGCAGCTGATTGACTGACTGACCCAGGTGAATTTGAACCATAGCCACTAATGACTCTTGGGCGAAATTCTAGAAGCAGGATAAATGAGTATGACCTTCACTCTAACCTATAATGTTGGATACCAATAAAATTTTTTGGATTGCCATTGAATATTTTTCTTTGGGAATACGAATTCTGGAGCTTTGAATCTGACTGAACGGATTCAGTATGAAATTCGAAGCGATGATTTTGAAAAATCGTTTTCTAGACTGGTTTAGATAGGACTCTCGGGAAAATATATTTCCCGAATACTTCCTTCTCAAGGTGGGTCTCATGTGGATTTGCAGAGGTTTTCCTGGTGTTCTGTACCATTGTTATCTTGTTAACAGCAAAATCCTGCAGTTCAAAATGATTTTTTGGATAACTGAAGTGTTTGTCTTCATATTTAATGTATCGGGAAGTACGTCCAGATAAAATACAGTGTGTTGTGTTTATCTACCGAATATGCAGTTGATTTTTGTGCTTGATCGATATACTTTTTCTGACCTGTTCCTCGTACATCAGCGATACCAAGGAGCCCGAAAAAGTGCTTCAATCGATAATTCCTGACATATTTTGCCCCTAGGCATGAATCCAACAATTGGAAAAATATTTTCGCCTCGACGGAAGAAAGAAGTTGAAATCTGATCGCGAATTCCGTTCTATTGCACATTTTATTGATAAAACAGGCCAGGAGTGGCTACGTTTGCATGCTCTAATAAACGGAGGGGCACTTCTGTAAAACTTCATCTTTCCTTTACCCAGGAGCTTTCAGACAATAACAAAACCACAATAATTATAATTAATTTGTTCAATCAATCTCAACTCAATAATCCTGATGAATTATGATCATTAATATCTGTTGCATAAACAACACTACATCAAGCAGAATTCGAGTAAGTGACATAATGACTGAGGTCGAATGTATACGGTATTAAGCAACAACTTTATTTACAACGGTCAAACAATTAAAACAAATCTTTAAGAGTTCAATAAACCAAAAGAATTATCAATCGATATAGATTAGATGATCCGGTGCTTAACCATAATTACAACATTTCTCAAGTACTTGTTTTTAAAATATACCACATATAATAATATTTTTTTTGTTGTAGCGTAATGAGTGGGAAAACTATAATTCTGAAGTTTTCTGACTTAATGTAAGCCACTTCTTCAAAGTAAATATATAAAAAATATACCAGATATAGTTGTGGAGCTGTAATAAACCTTACATATCCAGTCTTTATTGCAATTACAAAAGACAAATAACACTATCTCATTGTATTGTGAGCTTGATTTCAAGTTAATAGATAGCTTTTTGGTATATTATAATCCGTGCATGTCATTGTACAATAAACATATTTCATTGTACTTGCATAATGATAATAACGAAAACATAAGTTTATAATAATGAAATATATTCTGGCAAATAATGAGATTAGTAAATTCAAGCATGATTATTGAGTAGAAAAAGAAAAATGTAAAAATTTGAATTTAGTCTGTTAAATAAATAAAATGACTTTACTTTCCAATATATGTGGTTAAATTAAGGCACACTAATAATTCGCACGACAAGTATGGGAATTCGGATCATTTTACAATTTAAAGTTTAGATGTTATTATCAAACAAATCGAAATAATGTGGCATAAACAATTCGCCATATCATGATAAGTTTAAGGCTACACTTACTTTACTCTGTTCATTACAATATAAAATTCTTTATCTATACATTTCTTGCTGTAACATGGAAATATTAACAGACACTTCTTGGTTTGTGATTTGACATACTGACATTAAAAAGAACAGATAAAACGATATAAGATACACTATTGATGAATACTAGATATTAGACAGAAGTTAGATTATGATCTTAATGATAACATGAAACCTCCAACTGTGAACACTATTACATAATCACATTCAACATTTTAAATGTAGCATCTACATATTTCGAACAATAAATAAGTGTGAATTTTGAACCATATCTAACTTAAATTGTCAGTTTAAAGAACATACATAAAAACTCTCAGATCGTATATAGTTAAAACCAACACAGAAAAAGTTGCTATGCATTCTTTATTATTACAGCATTCAATCAAGTTCTCGTTAAGTAATTGATAACGATACTACCACAATACTTAAACCTTGTTAGGATAGATAAGTTTCATAACTTTAATACAATGTTTGAAAGAAGAATGACAAAACCATTAAGACTATCTTAAATTTAACCTATATAGACGGGAAACGAACTATTATTTAAAAGAACTATTAGTTCACAGCAAAAATACCTCTGTATATTTTACTAACAAAACAAAAGTGCACTATATAAGTACATTGATAATCAGATAAAATCAGCTTTATCATATATATATTTGGTGCCCCCCTGTACCAATATTTATGTGTTCAAATAAATAATAATAAATAAGCTTTATCATTTACTGCATGGTACGAAGAATGGAAAATAACCAGAACTTTTATAACTGAATAAGTTAATGTCGTGTAGCATACATTTAAACGCATTGTATTTCCAGATGAAACATAGTGAAAGGATGCACATAAAAAAGATTCTATGTACTTGGTAGAAGATGCTGAAAATATTTAGTAATAAAATTTACACTGAAACAATTTCATTTTGGAGGGGACAAGACTTGTCAATACAGGGGCTCAAGTAAATGGATGAGCTTTAATGACCTTGCTTTCTTCTAAACTATGTCTAAGGTAAGCAGTAATCCTAGTTGACAGTGAAACGACTTAAACATGCAACAACTACAATTAGATAAGGGCTTATAACCACGATAATCGACTTAACGTTCCTTTCTAAAATATTACGCCTAACCCCAGATTTCTAACTTGGTACTCCAAGTATAGAGAACGATTCTGCATAAATACCTGTAATCCAAAACTAAAAACAGATAAAAGTCTTCTATTTATATGGGTGAAGTTTCGTACACCTACACTCATCTAGATGACATTTCAGATACCTTAAAAAGCAAATTCTAAAAAATAGCAGCTACTTACTAGATCTTCGGCAACTGAAAGCTTTTGAGCAGTTCCACTAATTTTTTCTAATAGATATTTTGTTTCTATAATGTAACTTTCGCGAAGCAAACTAACAAGTGCTGATAACTGAGTATTGGGGAAAAACATATTGATTTTCGACTGGCCAAGAATTTCGTTGACTTTATCCCAATTTAACTTACGACAAGAATTAAAATTTGTATTACTCTGAAGGAAATTATTCAGAAACCACTTTTATAAACAGTATGCAAGCAAAAAAACTATCTTCAAAGTATAAAATTAAACCTTTCCAAGCTTAATGATATAATCATATAGCACATATAATACTTCAGGATTTGTGTACAAAAATATTAAAAGTTTTTAGGTTTCAACACAAAAACGTTTCAAATGTGACTGTAAAACTGTATATCAAAGAGACTGAAAAACAAGTTTCCGCACACAAAGACAACAGAGATTTCATTTTTCTATAATGAAATATAACTTTCATGCAAGTCACATCTATCTTTTCTATAAAAAGTGAAGGATACGACCAAATCACGTGCACAGTAGTAAGCAGAGAACAGTATGAACATATAGATATGTAGTTGACGAGTCAGTGTTAACACTACGTTCCCACCTACAACGTAATTAATATCTTGACTATATTGTTGCATTCTCCACATACTTGTTGGGCAACTCGAACTCCCACCAACGCAAACATTCAATTATACCACATGAAAGTTAAGTGAATAGTCACGAGAACTTGACTTTTATCTATATGGTTATTTAAGCTATTAGTGCAAACAATACAAGACCATAATGTACCAGCAGTAATAAAATTCAAAAAGAGGATAACAAGTCTTCAATTACACGGACAGCAAAAGACATGCCAATAAATACGTTACAACTCAACTATAAGATCTTTGAGCGACTCGTTAAACAGCATTAACAAATTCTTGGCCTATTAAGCCAATCATAAGACATAAAATGAAAATAAGTAATTTATAATACTAGGAATAAGACTCCGAGTTAGGGACTTCATCACAATTATTTATTTATTCCATGAATTTTTGATATTTAAAACAACGAAAGAAACCCATTGAACTTCTAAACAAAATGTAGACATTTCAGAGAAGAAAAATTTCCTTCCGAAAATATCATTTATTAGTCCTGTACAATGGTATTTATAGTTATATTTTTAAATATGATGGCCAATAATAAAAAATAGAGCATTATTGCATCAATAACAGAGGTACTGAAAGACAAACAGAATTTAAAGTTACGCAATAAGTATAGAATAATATATAGGAACGAAAAATGAAATATTCCCTTGAAGATTATAGAGAAGATAAGAATATGAATAAACGTGTCAAACCAAAATATAGAACAGAGATGTGAAAAAAAAGTATCAACTTGAAGAGGTTAGGAAAATAAAGAAAAAGCAACCACATGTCGAGAAACAACTGAAAAAAAAGTAAAAATGACAACTATAAATACGATTGTACATATGTAGTAAATGATACCGTCGACAAAAGATTTTTCGTCACCGAAACGTCTTTACTATGTTTAGTTTTTGATATTGTTAACCATAAATGTAATCAACTTGGCTGTGTACACTAATCCACCTACATACAACTATAGCAAAGTAAAAAGGAAGTGAATATACAAAATCTTATCTGATTATTTGAGTTATTTATACAAAACTTAAAGTAAAACAAACTTACATGATCTGAATTATCATTATTGTTATATGAACTAATAACATTAAGTGATTTTAAATCATACGTTTCAACCTGATGAGATAAGCTGATAGATAAGCAGAGAAAAAGAAGGGAGAGCGTATAATAAACTTTATCAGTTGAATAATCAGTGAGAAATAGAAAGTCATGAAAAAAGGAATAAATTTCACGTTTTTTTAACTTTGCTTATAAGACTTGTAGTTTAAGGCAATATCGAGGCAGTCCGCACAGGATACACATATGCCAACAAGAGACTGATCAATTGCAGTTTTAAATAACAGTGGGAAGATACAAGCAAACAATACCAAGTGAATCAACACGTAATAACGTCCATTTTGTGTTAAAATTTTGTTTATAAGTGTCTTATCATTATTTTAAGAACTATTTTTTTCGGCCAGTTATACTGACCTACAATTTAGAGAATAATATCAAAACTCATCGATCTCATAAGTAGCTATCGGTCGTGTCATCTATTGATCGACATTCTATTCATTATTTTAGCAATTTAAACTTCCTCATATCAAACACAGAGCCCTTCTTAATAATTAAGATGATCACGAAACTTTATTGGACGCTAGCAAATATATGCCCTCAAATCTCTTGGTACGGCCGAGGGTGAGTAGAGTTCACCCTCCCTCTCGAAATGCACTCACATGGCCAAGCCTATATAGCCTCTGCCAAGGAAGACCTACTCACTGCCTTCTCGCAAAATTACTGTTGTTTACGAAACTCACAGGACCAAAAGCGAGTGTTCGGAGCTTTAACCGGGTTGGTGGACACAGAGTCCACATACGGGTATTGGGAAACCCTGATACTAAAGCAATGATGCACATGGGTTCCAGTATTCTGAAGGAACAAATGGTGCATGAACCAATTGTTGGTCACTAGCTACCATGGAACTGCATCTCCTGACGTTGCTCCATTGCCTTATGGATTAGACCTTGAGGTCAAAGGCTTCGGGTGTGGCCCCCTAAGAAAACCACCTGCTTCAATCTGAGCACCCGAGCAGTAACACAGTCCACACACAAATAAAATCAAATGAAAATAATTACTGGTGTGGATCTGTTGACTGGAGAAAGACTTCTCGACCTTGAGTATGCGGATGATATTGTCTTACTGTGCGAGAATGCCCAAGCCATGCAATTCGCACTTAATCGGTTGGCAATCAGTGTCCGTAGTTATGGTATGTGCTTTGCACCTTCGAAGTGCAAAGTACTTCTACAAGACTGGCAGGATTCTAATCCTGTACTCACTCTGGATGGTGAGCAGATGGAAGTAGCCGAGACGTTCGTGTATCTGGTTAGCTGCATAAGTGCTGGTGGTGGTGTGAGTGATGAGATCAATGCACGTATAGTGAAAGCCAGAGCGGATTATGCCAATCTGGCGCCTTCGTGATGTTAGTCTGGCTATAAAAGATCGGATCTACAATGCGTCGGTGAGAGCAGTTTTGCTCTATGCTTGTGAAACCTGGCCTCTCCGAGCTGAGAACGTTAGACGACTCTCTGTATTTGATCATCGCTGTCCCCGAAGGATTGCTAACATCCAGTGGCAACACCATGTTAGTAATGCAGGAGTTCGGCATCGTGTGTTCGGGCACAGAGACGATAATGCAATTGGTGTCCCCACCTTCAAACACCGACTTCGGTGGCCTCGACATGTTCTACGAATGTCGTATCAGAGAATTCTACGTCGTTCACTATTTGCCGACTCTGGGACTGGTTTGGAAAAGCGCAGAGGTGGTCAGTGTATGACATGGGGTCGGGGTACAAAAGAAAGCTTCAAAGGGCTGGCTTCTGTTGGTCCTTCACGACTCCCTGTCTGGGGTCCGAGAGGTGGTGCAACACGGTGGCTAAAGACGTTATCAGATATGGCTCAGAATAGAAGCCAGTGGCGATCCTGTTGTAACCCTTTACTTTCTTCATAAAAAATGGACGTAACTTTAACTAGAAGAATTCTTTCTGATTGTACCTTTGCTAACTGAACTGTTTCTCCATTTTATTATTATTATTATTATTATCTTACTGTCATACACTAATTTCTGTTCGTTATTGTTCCCCTTTTTCTTATACGCACCTGACATCTTTTATCTCTTCAAATTCTGATTGTTATTGTGTGGCTCATATGTATTTGGTGCCCATTTGTACTAATAATTATGTGTTCAAATAAATAAATAATAACAAGGATATCAAAAAACAACTAGAATTAATCGAAAAGTAATAATCATGGAATAGATGTGCAAGGAAACTCTGTTATGTATACAAAACTAACCTTTTCTCAAGTGCTTGGAGAATCTTTCTACTCTTTGATAAACCATCATGTTTAAGAGTTGATTTTCCAGGTTTTAAAAGAATACGAACAAAGCAAATGGTTAGCATGGATGTAAACCATAACCCGAACAGTATTAAAACGCCCACAATCAGATAAACACTAGGGCCTGAAATAATTAAATATAGACAAAGATTGAGTATCGATTTTTTTATGCACCAACTGTTTCAAAAAAACTGTCAAAAGATGCGCTGATACAGCCGATAGTAGGGGAAGTTTAATTCCCCCATTAAAAGTGGTCTTATACGACTGTGTGCTTATAAAATCTTTTAGGAAAGCACTACTCAATTTTAGAGTGATCCTGGAGAAATTCCAAATTTTAAAGCGTCACATCTTGCAAAACCCACAGTGAGCTCTTTTCAATCATGAGAATGAAATTCCTACCAGGGAACTAGGGAGATTATTTGAGATCTGGCAAGTTGTGTTGTATCACCCTGAGATTGTCTGTTGAAGAATGTGAACCATAAGTTTATCGCCATTGTAAAGGTCATAAACAACTACCCGTCAGCTTCATCTTTTAAATAAACATTATTACTGTTTATCTATCTACTGACTAATATATATATAGGAGGATAGTCTAAGCATTTTCATTGTGGTGAGCATTTACAAAAACTTCGAACTATACACCAGTAAAAAGAACTAAATATTCCTAATAGTACAAGCACAATCAGTTGTGATATATAACAGGAACTTTTAACTGAATTGTTTTTATGGATTTAAAAATTCATATTTCTTTGTTATATTTATAACACAAAATTGTTTGGAACACTGGAGCATCAAGATATGACCAACATAAATTAGTAAAACTTTCTTGGTTTAAATGGTTGAGGCATGTGTTGTACACGCACAATCCCTGCATGCACTGGAGTGTTTTGCTATCAAGTATAGAAGGAAGTTAAAAAAAGGCGTAAAGTTCGGACGTAATTATTTCATTAATTTAGAGAGACACAGGTTAGTGGACTGAATTGTTTGATGAGAAGTAAACTTCTTGGTTAGGATTTACGAGATAGATGTAATCTATGGTTGAGTTACCACTGGCACTGATACTATTTTCAATGTTACGATGGTGCAAAGTGTGATAACTTGCACCACGTTATATGCTGTTTGTAACAATCACTGAAGAACGAAAGGTATATGTATATCCAAGTAAACTAGCCAAAAAAATACAGTGAGTCATTATATACTTAAGTGACTTACTCCTTTCAGGAGGACCGAAAACACTAATATTCCATAATTGATTAGTTAATCCAGAATGAAATGAATTTACATTGTTGAAGTTATGGGCTTCCAAACAGTTTGGTTGGAAAATCCTAATGGAATTAAGCGAGTTGACAAATTTTTTACCATTATCGTGATTACATAAACTCAAAAATAGTAAGCATTAAAATAAATGCTATTCTCTAAAAACCAACTAGTTTTAAAATTGAAAAACTTAGAAACCTACAAATACAATAATTGAAATACGTATTTTAACTTTAGAAAATAATTTGATAACATTTTAGGCAGAGATGAGTGGCAGCTAGCAGTGGATTCCAGAGTTGGTGTTCACTCCGGGACTCCAACTTAATACCACACGCTTCAAACGCCACTGCGTTCTAAACTTAGCTACTGAGTTATGACAGCCACTGGTCTGTAGAATGGAATGGATTTGTTTTAATTCATATATATTGATTGTTTTGATCTTTCGATTGATGTTTAGGACTGCAACTGGTCAGTCACTTTAGCATATGTGCATCCTGTCCAGATGACCTCAATATTGCCACTACTCATCTCTGCTTAAAATGCTTGTGACTTAATGATAACGTCGATGCGATCTGAATAGGATGCACATTTACAGAGAGACTGATCAATTGTAGCCTTGAACATCAATGAGAAGACCCAAACAGCCAATATATATGAAGTAAAATTAAGATTTGATAACAGTTAGACGGATCTTGATATTGAAGTCCCAATAAAATTACTGAAGGCAGATAAAATAAAAGTATTAATAGTTAAATGATCTCATAAACTGATATGTTTAAAACTTAGTAGGAACATGATTTAAAAGTACATTCTTATCTCAAAGGTGCGTCACAAATATTCACACTGTTTAAAGGCTTATATATTTTTTAATATCTCACCCAATCATATGTAAGTTGATCAATAAAAGCCATTTGTAAGAGTATATGGCCTACAAAACTAAAAGCAACTTAGTAGAATACAGATACACGATTGATTAACTCTCAAGAAATTGAAAAAAGGGAGATTTATTCCTAAAACATCTCTAAAACCAAGCGAAATTAAATTATTGACTTATATCCTCCTTGGAGAATTTTGAGTTTTAGTGGCAATATATAATAGTCAATAAGAGGTTTCCGGAAAATCAGAATTTATAACACAACTCATAGTTGGTACTGATCAAACATAAAACCGGATATTTTATTCCGTCTAAACTTAAGTTATAATAAGTTTAGCGCCCTTTGAACTCTAGAACATTTTCAACGGTTAAATTTATAGTAGTCACATTGTATCGGCCTTTCAGTCAGTCAAGCATACATAACGTACAACCTGGTATATGTGGACTTCAGTTTAAGTTTCATATCTCATTAGAACGGTGAAGTGAAACTGTTACAGAGAATTACAGAATAGTAGAGGTAGTAATAGTAATAGTGACATTAAAAAGATTGAAAATCAAATATACGATTCGATAAAATATAAATTAGTGACATAATCTTATAAGGAATTTAGAAAACTATGTCCTAAGGGAAGAAAGAGGAGTGAATGTTACCCAAAGTTTCCAACAGTTGGCTACGATAAACATGAAGAATACTATCAAACAGTCTGTACCTACTTAAATGACTCATTTCAACAATCAGTCCCTTTATAGGCTGATGACATATCTTAGTTTAACCGCTATTAGCTCTCTTTCCAATCTATTCCTGCACCAGCCATCAAGTATCGATTTAGCCGGTGGATGGGTATACTTAATACACATTTTAATAACGTCAATCAGCAAAGATTCACTACACTGTCAACTGCTTTGCTATTCTTACCGAATCGTTTGCGCCTAACCTCAGGAATGCTAACTCTATAGTCACAAAATATATGAGCAATGCTACGAAGACACCTCAGTCAGTTAGCTGCAACATAGGACCTGGCACATATATGCATCGGTCCAAGTTGCCATACCGCATTAGCACAACAAGATGAACACCCGATTCATAGAAGTAGTTAATTTAGTGGTGGTGATATATAAAAGAAAGATTGCATATAATTACAGTACAGAAAAAAAGAAAGGTATGAAGCGATTTTAATCTCTTAGTTTAAAGAAAGACAAACAGTGTATACACCTACGCCACTGTGATCGATTCTGAGCCATGTCACCAAGAGTCTCCAACCATTGGCTACGATAGTCACGCGGATCCCAACCAAGTAGTCTGCATATACCAACATGGCTCAGACCAGAAGTTAGTGACTTTGTGGACTGATGCCATGTTTTGGTTTGGCCGCCCCTAACTTTCTTCCAACCATCCCCAACACTAGTCAGTATTACGCGTCGTGGTAATCGGTGTTCAGGCATACGTAACATGTGACCCAACCATTTCAGTCGATGAAGATTCATGACCTCATCGACTGATTTACCATCATTCCCTAATACCCTGCGTCTAACCTCACTATTACTTACCCGATGATCCCAGAAGATGCGAACAATATTTCTGAGACATCTGTGATCAAATATTAGTAGCTTACGAGTATCTTCTACTCTTAAAGGCCATGTTTCTCAGCCGTATAGTAGAACGAAACGAACTGTCGCGCAGTATACTCGTCCCTTAATTGATAGACGGATATCTCGCCTTCGCCATGGGTGACGTAAGTTGGCGAAAGCCAGACGAGCTTTTCGAATCCATGCTGAAATTTCGTCAGACACCAACCCATTAGGGCTGATCAGACTTCCAAGATAAGTGAAGTTGTCAACGCGTTCAACTACTTTACTCCCTATCCTTAGTTCAGGTGTTGACGCAGACCAGTCCTGAAGCGATAACTTGCATTTAGAAGGGGAGAAGTGCATCTCAAATATTCTGGCATTGTTACTCAGTGCTACCGAAAGACTCTGCATTTTATCAGTGTCTTCACCAAGCAGGACTATATCATCTGCGTATTCTAAGTCGATAAGTGTGCCTCCTGGTAGGAGACCAATCCCCGAAAATTCAGTCGATGAGAGCGTTATTTCCAGTAGTAGGTCTATGATGAAGTTGAACAACAATGGAGAAAGTGGACAGCCTTGACGGACACCACTTGAGATTGCAAAAGCAGATAACAGTTCGAAGATACCTTTTATAAAATTCCAATAATCTATGAATATCCTCTGTTTTTGAAGGCTGTTTCACAGCTATAAAGTAGAATGGAGCGGACTGCTATGCAATATACTTGTCCTTTATTCTATGACAGATATCGTGCCTACGCTACAAAATGATGGATGTTGGCAAAAGTCAGCCGAGCTTTCTGAATTCGTGCCGAGTTTTTGTCAGATACCAACCTAACAGGGGCAATGAGACTTACGATCGGTAAAATGGTTGGCACATATAACTTGGTAAAAGTAGGCAACTGAAGAGTGGCTAGAGAGAAGTTATACGGCTTTTCAAAGTATTCTATCATAACAGTCTTCTGGGTTAAAAGCGCACCACTGAACCATCTTTTTCAAAAACAATATCAATAACTACCGAATTTTTAATATGTTTCTTTGATATGCTTGAGGAACTCTCCACTGTTGCTTTACGCCGCCGTTCTTTTAATCGCTTTTACCTCAGCTTCCCACTACTGCTAAAGATCATTGAGTAACCTTTTTGACAGTTTACCTTTGAGTTGCCATTGCTCCTCACAATGTTCGGAGTCTAACGAGATGAGTTTCCGAGGGTCTATCAGTTCAGGAGACACTGCTGAAATTCACTGACTTTTTTAACTTTGATTATAGTCACTTGTAAATATCAGTACTATTTTTGCAGATGCCTGACTGGATATCATACCGACTCACATTGACTGACTGCTTCTCTAAACGTTTCTGAAATATATTCTTGGCTTCTTTAATACTGGGTTGTACTCTACGATTTTTTGCTGCGGCTTTCTACGTCCAGTAAGATATTGACAAATACCTAGTCGAAATAAAACATGTGCTCCAAAATGAGGAGTCTTCTATCGAACTTATTCAACGATGAATGATGGAGATATGGTCTATTTACGTCAATAATTGAGTGGATTATGGGACTCGCCGTATCATACAATGACTATGTTTACAATTGGTGCCTGCTAAGAACAAACAGCAGTCTGAGCATAGTTGTAGCAGACTGTCCATGATGTCTGCTAATTGATCCGGGACACTGCAAGACCCACCCAAATGTCTTTCATCTTGGTTTGAACTACCTACTTAGATGTTAAGATTGACAGTGACAATCACATCTGGGCGTTTGGCTTTTTGTAAGAGAACAAGAAGCTTTCTATAAAACTTATCTTTTACTCCATCCGAACTGCAGTCGTTGATAGTGTAGGGAGGAACAACGGCATATCTTTTCGTGTTCTTGCTTTCCTATTTAGTCGGACGGTACAAAACGATTGCCTACTGGAATACCGTCTGGTAGAGCTTTTTCGCGTCTGAAATTAGCGCTATGTTTGCATCAGCGAGGCCGCAAGAGGTAGCAATTGATTCTCGAGGTATACAGCAAATAAATCGCACCGCTTCATTCTATTAACCATATGAGATCTACATTTGCATACTGTGTGTGTGTTTAAGGGACACAGAATACATCGATAGTACGGGATTCCACAGTCCTAGTTAAGGAAGCCCGTTGGCCTATTCGACATAACGTCCAACATTAAAAGCTTCAACATGTAGTTTGGAGTGCAGCTTCAAGAAGCCAGCAATAAAACCTCATGGACTCGAAAAGTGGCGATATATGGGGATAAAGTTGTAGGCGAAGGATTGACAGTAGTGATAGAACGAAATATTAACAAGTTAAAAAAATTTGGTTTGATGCTGGTAGAGGCATAAAGGCGGTTGTTGCTTTTCGGTTGCCCACGTGACGAAAAGATATTTCTCACTAAGGGAACTGAAAAGAGAACCAGATTAGTAATCGTCGTATTTACCTGGGAACGTCACCTCAGAGCCAAAGGGATAACTGTTTGAAACCAGTCGCATAGGAACTTGTGGGAAGTCTAAATGTATTAGCTCTGCATTTCAAAAAGTTTTACCTTTAGAAACAGAAATATTTGGGGTAAGATGAGATATGAAAATTTAGGGGTCGACTTTTCCTGACCTCTTCTTTCAGTTAAAAAGAGGCAGCATTGCTGCATACTCTGGTTGTCTGAGAACACCTTACTGCTGTCACACAGTATGACTCCACCTTCGGATCACGAGTTTGCTGACTTTGGCCTTACTGTTCTTTAACCGAGCAACCTAGAATAGTATGGTCTAAAGTAACAACTATTCTAGCCTATGTGACTCGATCGGATTACTACGATGGAGAAGCCCTACCATCACATCAGGGTGATAGTTACGGTCAGGATTGGTCTCTACTTACAATATGGATGTAAATCGGAGTAAATGAGCCTAACAAAACAGCACTAATATTCCACATATCTGTGTTAGAAGTAGTGGGTTTCGCATAACAATACCCTGTAAGCATCACCATAATTGATATAATCAATGTCGTTTATTTGTTGGATGTGAGCATCAACAGCATCCTTTTGTACATTCCGAATTGTCACAAGCAAATAAATAAGTAAAATTACAAGAGACAATAGTAACTATTGGTTTTGAATCTAAACTTCAAACATACTCCTAATGTAGTGAACAGAATACAGGTGGGGACAATCGAATATATTTAACAACAAATTACAGAACTAGCAGTGGAATCCAGGACGCGCGTTTCGTCCTATTTGGGACTCGTCAGCTGGATGTATCTGCATCTCAGAGTTGATGTTCACTCCGGAACTCGAACTCAGTACCGTCCGCTTCAAACGCCATCGCGTTATCCACTTAGCTACTGAGTCCTGATAGCTACTTGCTTGTGCAATGGGGTGAAGTTTAATTCACTTGATATTGTTTTATTTGAATCTTCCCATTGATGTTTAGGACTGAAATTGTTCAGTCTCTTATTGGCATATGTGTATACTGTGCGTATGCCTCGATATTGCCTTAATTTACAAGCATTATAAGCAAAGATGGATAGTGGTTAGCAGCGGAATCCAGGACGCGCGTTTCGTCCTATTTGGGACTCGTCAGCTGGATGTACCTGCATCTCAGAGTTGATGTTCACTCCGGGACTCCAATCGTTAATTTGCAAATTGTTCACCAATTGTCTCAAATGACTCAGAATCCCTTTGTTCTTGCATTTTCATACAAATTGCATTCGTTCTTCATTCTTTATTGTTCGATCTTTTCGTCTCTCTACTGCCAGACATTCTGTTCAGTACTCACGTCATATACTACTTATGTAGACATAAGTAGTACATGCCACACTAAGTTTATTTATTGATTTATTTATTTATTTGAACACATAAATATTGGTACAGAGGGGCACCAAATATATATGCGTCACACAAAACAATGATAATTTGAAGAGAAGGAGAAAAGAGAAAAAAAAGTAATGAACATGAGGAATTATAAAAAAAATAAAAAGGAGAGAGAGAGGACAATGGTGGGGGAAACGGAAAGGTACAATCAGAAGAATTCTTTCAGTTAAGGAAGGAGCAACCACTTTTTATGAAGAAAGTAAAAGAAGGTTACAGCAGGATCGCCACTGGCTTCTATTCTGAGCCATATCTGATAACGTCTCTAGCCACTGCGTTACACCGTCTCTCGGACCCCAACCAGGGAGTCGTGAAGGACCAACAGAAGCTAGCCCTTTGCAGCTTTCTTTCATACCACGACACCACACTAAGACAGAAATATTATCGGTTCAACGTCTTTATTACACTTCTCAGTTTTTCGGCGACTAAGAAAACTATTAAGCTTAGCACTGACTAGACAACTTACCTGCTTTGTATTTGAGACCAAACATATGCTTGCAAACCAACAGAAATCGACGACTAAACCCCTAAATGCACAAATAATAGATGGTTTAGAACCATTACAACGGATTCCAAACTCATGTTATTGTCAATTGATTCTGAGACCTAGTAAAGATATTTTTCTGTCTGTTTCTAATTTGTGCGAAATCGGGCTGCACCTAAACTTGTCATCTAGATATTCTAACTACGTCTAACTCGTTAAGGAGGGTGATATTAAATCTATAAAATGAAATAAATATTTTGAAGGTTTTCACGCAAACTTAAAACTATGTAATCTAATTTACTTACAAAAGAGAAAATAATGAAACAGATCTACCTGCGTTGGATTCTCATATAAAAAAGATAGGATGCTTGTGTCTATGTTCTATTAGATTCTTGAACTTTAAGGAATCTCAACATACGTTAATAAGGAAGCAGTGTGTTCAGCAGCTTAAGAACTTAATCTGTAACCGCTGGGTTAGGGATTTTAAATCCGATCTACAAACCATGGTTTTCAAAACTGGCTGGTATCAGCGTCATGCACAGGGGGCAGTTTACTTAACACCATAAAAATCTTCAGTTTTACTGTTAGATTGCGACATGTACTTAGAAAAAGACATGAAATACAACAAGGGTAGATTTTGACGTTTAATTAGCAGTTCAAAATATTCAAATAAAGGGAAACACTAAAAAGCGGGACAGGAATCTTAAGTAGGATACCTAATAAGACTGAAAAAAATGAAAGGACAAGCCGTAAACGATCTTATGACATTGACAGAAATTACCGACAACGAGGTGTCGCAAAATGTTATTCAGAAAATATTACATATATACCCTTTTAGATAATTTACATAAAGTAAACACAATTATAAAAACATCGAGTACTAAGTTACCTAGGAAAAAAACTCCCTGAAATATTTTCTTTCTGAGGCAAATATTCATATTCCGGAAGTTTGGAGTAACTAGTAAGCCAATGTTCAGTTTCCTTTACAGTCCAGTTATGTGCTGTAAGTATTTAAAAAAAAATCAGGTTTGCTCGACGATAAGTTGAACTAAAAGAAGTCATTTAACGAAAACATTCCTGTAAGTTCATGTATATTAGCCTTAATTACAAACTAGTGCAAGGGATTCAACACTTCTAACGCAGTTTAATGCGTTCTACAATTCTTAGCCAATTTAAAACTACTGACCAAAGTTTGAAAAATATAAAGGGAATTATACAATAATTCACTATTTTCATTTCATGTTAAGCAAGTCATAAGTACAGCACGAAACTCTAACCTTACCGACAGCAAAATAACAGTCAAACTACCAGATCACGTTGATGATTAGTGATAGTATGACGAAGTAACTGTCAACCTTTTTTTGCCCTGTTAAAAGTGAGAATACAACCGAGATTTAAAACGTACTCATTCCGCGTCCTGTTTTCAAGTTATGACCCTAGTCTGAAATCACGTCTAAGCCAGTTACTAACCATGTAGAGCCATGGGCTAATGCGAGTTAATCAAAGATGCTATAGTATATTAGCACGACAAGATAGAAATAATGAAGTAGCAGTGTTAATGAGAAACACTAGAGACTGAGAATATGCTTTAAAATGACAGAGTGGAAAAATATGTACAAAGGAATACTGGAACTCAATAACCAAAATAGAGTGAAATAAATTGCGTCACCGTGACAGATTCTTAGCCACGTCGCCAAAAATCTCCAGCCACTGATCGCGGTTACCACGCGGAAAGATTATCTAGCACATTTAATATAACTAACTAGCACCAGAAGTTAAAGACATTTACATGCTTTTTGAACAGTACTATATATGTACACATAACAGGAAGCTAACTAGGTTTTGATGGACTATTACTTGAAGTTATTTATCTTAAATTCCAGAGCTGATCTGATGTTATCGAAACCAGACCCAAAACTCTGAGTGCATTATCTCTCGGATTAGTGGTAGCGGAGTGAAAAAAAACTGAATAACTCAACGCAAATGGCACTTACTCACACCCTAAAATGAAGATTTAAAAAAATTAATCTCCAGTGACTTATATTTAAGCAGTAGACACTATGAATGAATATATGTAGGTAAAATTCATTTCTATTAATTTGAAACAATAAAATTCACCATGATCGTTTCTTGTTATATGTTCATCTACTTCACACCATTTAACACGTAGGATGTAAGCGTTGATGAATGGTTTGTGGTACCTTTATTTATTTACTTTGAGTAGACACACCAACAAAAACACAAACCTTTATTTCTCGACCAGGAGTGCCAAAGTTCACGGAGAACGCTTGGATGAGTCCGTTTCGTCACAGAATCTATAACCCGAGCATTAAGGTTCTTTACGACTGGCCACTACGGCAATATATTTAGAAAAGAGCGTTACCACGAAGGTAGAATATCCAGGTTCTAATGATGCATTCTCTAAATATTTCATTGCAGTATATAACTGTAAATGACAACCTAGAACGGCGTATGGAGGTTTCCTATTCACTAAAAAAATCAACAAAACACCGAATGAGTTTCGTGTCATATGAATAAAATTACTGACGAAAATGTTACACAAAATCAAAAACTGGTGACAACGATATTTAAACTCCTCAAATTAGACCAACATGATTTAGTAACTAAGGCAATGTGCTAAGTCTTGAAAAACAATTTTTGGGAGGGATGGAAACAATATACTGGGGTTTCCTTTGTGACCCCATAGAGTTTAAAAATTAAACTGCTCATCACCTCTAATATTACGGCTGTTATGGACAATTTATTGTATTGAACCATTTATTGTATACTAGCCAGTGAGATAAGTTATTGCTCGAACTAAGTTCATCTCCGATATTTGACACAATATGATACATGTTACAATAAACTTCGTCTATGTATTTTGCTGAAAAATGGTCAATCGTCATTACTCGTACTGGATGTAAAGCGCATGAACTTTCTGAGGCAATTTTCTTTGAGATAACAATGTTATCACTACTGTTTAAAAGCTGACATGATTTATTTGCACATCTCCCAAGAAAAAGCGAATCTGGTAAAATGATGGCAAAAATGTTTAGTTATCTGCATGATATTTTCATATTACCGAGTATGTCATGAACCACTTACTGGATTCCTGTTTCATATGTCATACATATGAAGATCGTGAGTTACTAAGAAGTCCCGAGTCCTGACAAACGCCATTTCAGATTTACATAAAGAATGGGAAAAAGTGATTAGACGGATTTTCTAGGAATAACTTGCTTCTGACTACCTGCTACTGAATTTAACTTATCAACGTATTGTTTTTAAACTTGACTATATACTAGCTTTTTGTTCCTCTAAGTAGAAATTCAGACTAGGAGATGGAGTTTAGAACATTCATGTTGTATTTAATAGAACATATAAGATAATTCATAACTGATACAATTAGTAAAAACTGTCACTATCGGGGCCGCATGTACGGTTTTTGGCAAAAATCTTAGGTTATATTGGCATGAAGTGATGGGAAAGACTAAGTACAAGTAGCCACTAAATTCGGACAATGGTACCAGTCAGTCAGCAACAACGTGGATTTTCGTACGTACGTACATCAGTTCGAGTTGCCATTACACTTTAGCACAGACATTCAGTTATCGATTCGAATCCCTTAGTGGTAGAGGTAGTGATAGTACAAGTAGTAATAGGGAACATTAGGGTTTGATGTTATTCAAAGAGTGTAATCCAGTGAAATAAACTTGGAAAGATAAAAGAAGGACGTGAAGAATTCAGAAGATTAGAATTTGGGAGCACAAAGAGTGGATGCACCTGCACCATTGCAAACAATTTCGATCCATGTCATTCAAGGTCTCTAACGATCGGTCGTTATCGTCTCGCGGACCCCAACTAGGTAGTCTGCACCTACCAATATGGCTTAGTCCACTTGTCAGTGACTTCATGGATTTGTGCCATGTTTTGGTCTGGCTGCCCCTAGCTTTATTCCAACCTACTAATGCCCCATAAGACATCGCACGTCGGGGCAGTCGGCGGTTGGGGATACGTAACACGTGTCCCAGCCATCTCAACTGAAGTTTCACTACTTCATAAATTGATTTGCCATCCTTACCTAGTATCCTTACCTGGTACCACGTATTATATACGATAGGAAAGTCAAGGACCACTGTTAGACAGACTACTGATTTAAGAAATCAGTGACCAAAAGTTGTTTAAAGCGCAGCTTCTGAGGTAAGGGATCAACAGTTGGAAGCCTTGTGTGAGCTCAGAGTCGACCACGACGGTGAAAACCCATCTCCTATTTTATCTCCCATCTAGTATTGAGCATTCTATGACCATTGGGTTTATTTTGCCTTCTTATCAATTTCATTATTTCTAGCTGTTAAACAGAACTGTAAGGGTTACTGATAATTAGCAAGTTCAAACTCCATGGGGATATTACTCAGATGGTACTCCCACTTGTCACTGCTAGCTAGATATTTCAGCAAAAGGCAGATCCTAAAAATTTTCAGGAACTGCGTAGAACTTGTTAAAAGCTGAGGTTTTGATCTCCTGATTTTAGTAATAAACATTATTTTGCCATACGATCTAAATACTAGTCAGCCCTTCACAGTAATTAACCAGGGTTTAAACAATGCACTTTCAGGTGCATCAGGTTTGTTAGGCTTATAACTAAGCCAATAAATGTAGACGTTCACGCCAGAAATATTCAATTCCCCCTATTTCTATGGATCGAAGACTGAATGAATCCACTTGCAGCCCAAATGATACACACGAACTTATATAATTTCAGTAATTGCATATTAGAATAAAATATGGTTTTTTTCTTAGTCGAGGAACTACTAGCTGATAAAATGTATGGCATCACTTGGTTTTGAACAGTAGCGCAGACAAAATACGAGCATCTTTAGAAGTCATCTAAGCTCTTGAACAAATTATATGCTTGTAAGTAAATTGAATCCGGTGCAAAAAAACAGAGCATCGAGCTCCAAAAATGACGCGTTCCGTCCCAATTTCGGGGAAATGGCACAAAACCCCGAAATTTCCTCAAACGTTGGGAGTTTGGGGTAAGTAGCCACGATGGGATCCTAATGAAACGTCAGCTGCCGTAATAAAGCGGAAGAATTAAAAATAACGCCTAAGAACTAACTGGACGTCATTTTTTATCTCTTATATAAGAGTGATAAACCAGTCATATAATGACTGCCAAGCTCCCAACTTTGGGGAAATTTTAAGGTTTTTGTGCCAGTTCTCCAAAATTGGGAGCTTGGGGTTATTCACGGTATTCCAACTTATTTACGTATTTTCATTATTCAAGGGACGTTTATCAATGCAAAGAAATCTCGGAAAACAATTGAAATTTTCGAGGAAATAAGGATCACCTTTGGACAACTGTATAATACCACCACCATAAAAGCAAAATCGAAGGACGAACGGCCAACCTATTTAATTTGAAGGTGTCCTTCCATAACTTCGTTTGCCGGATGCAGTCAAACGAACTTCTGAGAGAAAAGCTAAGACCATCACTGCTTTGAAAAAAGACCCTCGAACTTCATTCTGACTAGCTCAAGAACCAATTCTAACATCCGTTTACTCTTAAACAGTAGATCATATAAGTAACTAGCAGGAACGAATAACTTGATAATAATTCACTACTGCTGTTTAATCTTTTGATTTTAGCGGATGGTCATAACTGAAGATGCCAAATCAGAATAAAGTGAAAGTATCTCAGCCGAGTGTGTGTAAGTCGCTCTTACTGACTCGATTTTTTCTAGGTTCCCCCAACAACTTTTCCATAAAGTAATCAATCATCGTTTTGTTTTAGAAATAACAGAGAGCAAAAACCTTTTTTTTCGAAGCTTGTATTCTCTCAAACGCTAGAAATTTTTAGGGCTAAGGTTTTTCTTTCTTGATATCTTTGACTACCGACACGGTCACGGCAACTGCAAATGGTGGAAATAGTCATCAGTGTTTGTTATCTGATTAATAAGTATATAAAACATACTTTGTATATTATATATAATTATATAATATTGCTTTCCATCCCTACTACTTTGTCGGATCTGAATTTAATATACCATCAGTTTAGCTTCGTACGCCATGCAGGGCAATGGAAATGTCACTGGACCCTAACCAAGCCATCCGTAAGTTAGGTCATTGAATGTCAAGTAGATCATCAGATTTCAGATTTGTGTAGTAAGGACAGAAGGCCTACTGCCTATGTTATTTCGTTTCTAGTATGCTTCTGTGAGTATCTAGTCTTCTCTTGAATGAGTCAATTGAGTAACAGGATCTAAGAATTCATGACTCGATGTGCAAACCTGTATGCCATGGGTATTTTGTTAGTTCTTGGTTGTCCTGATGGCCTGCTATGTTCTCTGAGATGTTCCGATCTAGTGGGAATAAAAAGAGAGGACAGAGCGAAAAGGTCTAGCTTTTCAAGTCGAACCTGAGGTTATAGAATTGCACGTTGTAGCTGTCCTCTGTACTTTTTCCAGGATATCCGAATCGCCTTTCAGACAGGATCTTGGAGCCTGAACACAGTTCTTGAGCTTAGTTCTCACTAAGTTTGTGTATACTGTAGTGAACTTGGTAGTATCTAACTTAGTGAATGTCTGTTTTAAAGCCCAGAGAGTTCTAAACCCCTTAGCTGCGATCTCCCATTAATGGACCGTGGTCTTAAGATCGTGACTCACTGTCACCCCAAGATCCTTATTAGATCGGATCACGAGTACAAGCACTTACCCTATATTGCACCCATCTGCCTTTGTATCCCCGAAGTGCATGTAGACACACTTTGTCACGTTGACAGACATCAGTCACCCTTTAGACCTGTTAATCACATTATTTAGGTTTGCCTGAAGTGCTCATGCATATGCGTCTTTCGTTGTTACTTGCCAGACTTTTACATCGTTAGCGTATAATAACATCGATCCCCATCAATGTCAAGGACAAATAACGCGCATCACTTAATCGTATACCATGAACTTGCCATTGCGGTGCTGGTCTCACTATCATCTCTGTTCTCGTTCTTGCTAATATATTTCCGCTATGAAGTCCCTTGTATTGTACAGTCTTTAGGGCATCCATAGTATCTCGATACAACGAAAGGGTAATCCGCGTTAGGTGCTGGCCGCGAGATGTGATTTTGACGTTAGCTGCTGGTCCACTATTCCCGTCTAGCTTGAGTAGGCTTCCAAATATTCGACATAGATCATCAACGTTGATGATCTACGACCTGAAGAAGCCGGAGAAGAAACGAATCGTCTTCAACTGCGCTGCCATGTACACAAGAGTCTCAATAAATTCTGTGCTTTATCGAGGACTAAACTGCATAAAAATTAATGAATTTCCCGTCAATACATCACAGGAAGCCAGCGGCCGTCTTAAATGATGTAAAGGAAATATTTAGGTAGGTAAATCTGCCAATATCTGGTAATGGAGCTCTGAGATTTTTACGACGATAAGATAGCCATTTCTGAGTTATGTTATTGAGTTCTGAGTGAGTTTATGTATTTGAATTGACTTTAGCCTATCTTTGTGCCATTCTATCCAGTGGCTTTGATCAATATGTCAACAATTAACAAAGCTACTAAGAATATATTAGGGCTTCCATGTGTTGTAAGAAACAATCTAACTTTAAGGTGGAAACTTTTGTAGCTACTTTTCTACGATTACATGTATATTAATGGCATGTTCACTAGGTAGACTATTTTTATAATTTTCTTATTACCACAGTTCCAAGCTTTTGTTCGAACCGTAAACTGTCACTGTAGCCTTTTCCACCTACGTTATTTTTGAGCACAGTACTTCTTTTTCTTCCATCACTAGTGTTGTTTTTCCGAGCTAGTTTAGTATACTGCTTGACTTGGCTCAGTATGCATATCAAGTAATGCCTGAAAAAAAGGATGATCCTATGTTGGTGTTTATTGGTTATATATTCCTCCTCTTCTTTTAGTGCCGGTAATTATCAGTCGTTCACGTCCTTTCGTGACAGCAAAGACACTAAGCAAGATGTTTCCATGTCACATTTTGACCCGGCTGGTAACCAACAGCTAGAGAAGTAATTCTTCCAGCCATTACGTCCACGTTAAACCCGCTGAGTCTCACTACTCAAACTTGTCTTTTGACCACACAGACTTTACACAGGCTGTGCAAGAAATATTTAGGTTGGAATTAACCGCTTAGTTCATCGGATGTCAATGCATGGTAATAGTGAACAGATTTCAACCAGGGCTAAGTTCGAGTCACAGTTGACAGTAATATAGAAGTGTGAAGTGAGGACAGTTACTAAAGCGATAAGCTTCGTCTTCTGTAGACGCTTTAAAAGTGGGTTACGGTGCGGCAGTATTCTAGGGTTGGTCCACAGAGTTGGCTTCCACACGCGGTACTGCTTCACAGCAAATATAGAGCACCATTAACTGAAGATTTACTACTCTGCCGTCCAAAGGATGAGTGAGTTTTTAAAGACAGACATGTCAAACATGTTTCCCAGAGTGTAATTTTGGACAACTTCAGTGATCATGTTCGAATATACTCGGTGGGACAGTGTTAGGGTAGGTTGAAACCTGCGGATCTTGAATATGATCAGGACTTGCGAGTTATTTAAAGGAAAATTAGTTTATCATACATGCTAGCTAGCTGGAGCCTGTTCTCTGATATATCGAGTTGAATCATTTGACTTTCAGAGTGCTACTGAATATTTAGAGTCATAAACCCCATAACCCTGAATTGATTATGGGAACTTCACGAAACTCCTTCTACTGAGACATATTACTAGACAATATTATGGTCCAAGCATATCAGTGTTGCAGCAAACTATGCACCTCATAATAATGCCAAAAATTTAGAAGGCGATTTCAGAACACTGGGTTTGCTGTATTTTAAAACATGAAGTTTAAAATTCAAAAAATAAGTGCGAGCTCATATGATCGCTTAGCGATGCCGAGAAACAAATAACACAGGTGATAGGAAATATAGTTAACAAGAAAAGAACGAACTGGAACAGGAAATTGATTAGGGCATGCATATATGACGGAAATGATAGATTTGGACGTAAAATCACAAGCCTTATTAGTCACTCAGATCTTAGGTGTGAAATTTTAATTTAATGTGTGGATGGCCTACGATCCTACATGTCGTAAAGCCATTCTGACGAGACTATCTTTATTGTTCACCCCACTACGGTTAATGAAATTTTGCTCTCTCTCTCTCTCTCCGTTAAATCATAATTCCAGGAGACACAAAAGTAAATTGTATTGTTATAGCTTGATTGACAACTCATCTTCGTTATTTGACTTAAATAAATTATTTCTTTGGGATTCGCAGTTTATTTGTCGGTCCCGTATACACCACAGCCAACTAGAATATATCAGTGAACTGCATTATATATTTTACTCAGTGATTTTTGAGTCCAGTATGTATTAAAAATATATCATCATTCTCAGTCCGTAGAGTGAGTTGTTTTACTTGTTTCGAAAAGAGATCATCTTCACTCATACACGAATTTTACGTTTAACTTCTGGAAACCTTGACTTCAATTTGCACTTAAGGTTTACGTAGGGCCAGAATTTTACGGTATAGAGTAGGCTGTCACAACATAATAAGAATGTGATAGAGTTGGCTCGGGATTAAACCAGATGCCTATTTAGGAGTCCACACATTGTTATAAGCTTACGTAAATCATATTTTCATCCCCACTTGTTTAAAAACTCTCTTTTTTAAGAAGACTTTTCATTCCTGGCTTACATACGTACTGCAAATCTTGATAAACTCGATCTGATGCTAAATTATAGTGAAGCGTACCTGACCTCTATCTATGACAGGACTGATATTCTTTAGCCTATTCTGCCTTTAATATGCGCTTTCTTCACGGTCCACCTCACATATTGATTTTCAGCCTCATTGTGATATGAGAAATCTGAAAAATCGCAACTTTCTTCACTGAGAGTATTTTATCATATGTTTAGTGTCGTGAGCTTTTTCTCCCGCTAAAATAGTGCTAACATAAGAAGTATGAATTTGTATAGTTTTTAGATAGGGACGTTTAGCACTGAATATATAACATTTTTATATATGATTTATGGTTCACAACATAAGCGAAGTCTCTGAAAAAAATGTGCATTTCCATTAAAATTCCCTGAAATGAGATTATCATTAATTATTTCTTGGGCGTTCTGAATCAATTTATATGAAACAATACATAGCTTCACTGCTCCGCTCTAGTAAAGCTTTACGGCCATTATTGTAGACTAATTTTGACGTTTCGTAGAAAAGAGAGGAATATTATTCAAAAAAAGATGTAGAAATAACATAACTTAAGCACTTATTGGCTTACGACGTTTCTATCACGACTAATGTGAAGAAAAGAGAGGACGGCAGAAATTCAGAGCGACAATTGATCGGATTTCGTGTGTACTTTTTCGGAGCTAAAGACATTTGTACAACGGAAAGTAAGAAATGAACTAGCAACGAAACAGATCCAAATGGTACCTCAACTCACCATCATCCAGCCATTTGGGTATAGTATAGGAAATGATGATTCGGTCTATACTCAGACTGTTATCACTGGCGAGACCTTTGCCATCTGTTCGGTTCATTTGAAAGGTTGCTAAACAAGGCACTGAAGATAAATAAACTTTGTCCCCTTATAGTTTGCTATTATTAGGGAAATAGGCGAAGATACCATTCGACATAAGTATGGAAGACTTTGGAAACAAGTTAATCATCTCGTTAGTTTGTTTTGGAAATGGTGGTAATGAAATATTTAATATCCCTCTAAACACATCAATGTAGTGATTGTAGCATTGGAT